GCTGAACCTGGTTTTCCCCTTGCAATTCCCCCATATTCGCATTTCATCCTGTTTGGTTGTACCTGAAGCTGCAGAGCCCGCTCCCGGGGTACCGGCAGTGGTAAAGTAACCTGGATAGTAGGCAGCTTTCCAGGCTCAGTTTAGGAGATTCGTTATATTACTTGGGCATGTGAGGTCGGTGGGCGACATGCACGTGGGAGCAGAACCTTTTCTGTAAACCGTGTGTGCAGGGATCTCTTAGTGATACTGAGCAGGCAGCTGGGGTGTAGCCTGTTACAGCCATTCCCAGTCTGCTTTGCCTGCTTGTTTTTGCCTGTAGCTGCAGGTATTTCAAGGGGCTGCAGGATTTTCCCTGTTCTTTGGTCAGGGTAAGTAATTATGGATGCAGTTTCGTGAGCGACATATTTGACTCACTCTGAAGTTGCCCCTGTTACTTTACCTTTGCTGTAGTCCTTGGTACCTTCTTCTCTTGGCAGATAAAAACCTTGCAGCATTAGGCTATAAGCATCGTGAAAATTCCGCTGCTGCTCGCCGCTGGCATCAGCACTGGTGGGTTATTCTGAACTCCCACTTACTGTCAGCGGAATGTTGAGCAGTTCGTGCTGCGCGGGGTTCTCGGTGTGCGTACCCAGCTACGTGCAGTGCTTGCACAGATCCCACGGCGAACGTGCTCGTACCTGTGTGCCAGGAAGCAGCTGGCAGGGAAATTCCCATGTTCACATGCACCTCGGCAGGCAAGGCAGCGGTTCTGTGCACCCGCGCTGCAGCAGCTGGTCTGCCAGGAGGCTGGGCTGAAGAATACGCCTGAATTTATCCCCTTGATCAATCTGGGACACGCTAATAGTATAATCTCTTTAATCCTTTGCAAAGTCATCTGAAACTAATCTTAATCAGGCCTCAAAAGCGAAATCCCCTCCTTGAGCCCTGTCTCGGAGTCCAGGGTCGTTTGTCGCTGTGCTTTCAAGTGCACGCGCTGCCTCCGGTCTGTCGCTGCCTTGTGAGACCCCCCCACCTCAAGCAGAGGGGCCGTGGCGCAGAACCTGCATTCGTGTGTCCTGTTGAGCTCGCTGCTGCGAGAAGAGAAGCTCTGCGGGACAGAGGCAGCCTCTGAACACCAATTTAAAACCAAACAAACCCATTTTTATTTTGAATTTTCAATGTCAGGCATTTTTAATGTTTCCCACAAATCTTTTTACAGTGAGTTTACTCTTGGTTTGTAACTTCCTGAAGGCCCCTGCCAGCTGCTGGAGCTGTTGTCTGATTCTCTACAGTCCCTGGCTTCCCCTTTGCAGTCGGAGCAGGGAGGTCAAAGTCTGGAGAGAGACTTTGTGTTCCATTCCCGCCCCCACGGGCAAGCCCTGCCAGGGGATTATTCAGGAACCTTTCATGGTTTGAGGAGAAGTAAAAAGGCATTTGCTTCTCCCGGGCACCTTCGCGTGCCCTGGCTGGGTGCTGCGTGTCGGTATTGTCCAAGCGAGGCACGTGAAGGGGTTCTCCTGTGCCCCCCCCCGCCGTAGCTGGGTTGGGGGCTGTTTGTTGCCGCAGCCTCTCGCATCTCTCCCTTGGGCTGCAGGGTGTAACCCCTCTGCTTCCTTTCGCTTCTCCCAGGTAAGCAAATGATTGAGACTTACTTTGACTTCCGCCTTTACCGCCTCTGGAAGACCCGCCAGCACTCTAAACTATTGGATTACGATGACATTTTATGAGCTGGAGAAGACTTTGCAAGAGGAAGTTGATCACCGGTGTCCAAGAAGTCGTGCTTATTGCAGAGAGACTTTTTTATTGGCACGGGGAGCCCTTCTAAGCCCTAAAGGAGGCAGCAGTGCTAAAGGGAGGGAAGAAGGAGCCCTCGGAAGTGTGTCGGGAGGAAAGTCTCTTGGGTCAAGAGAGACTGGAGGGAAAGGGTTTGACACCTCGCTCGTCTCGGGTCAGAGCCGTGGTGTCTCAGGAGGAGCTGTGTGAAACGAGGACGGGATGGAGTTCCTTGCAGAACTGAGCTGTTTTGGGTCAGAATGGGCCAGATTTGATTCCAGGTCCTTTTAAAGACTTTTGAAGCTCAGGTTTTCTTACACACACACACAAAAAATCAATTACCCATGCACTACAAGGAAGAAGTGACCGAGCACAGGGGAAGGAGGGGTTTGTACTGATGGGACCTTCTGTGCTGGGGATTTTGGAGAGCAAGGACTGCTACACCTACTCCTGCAAGCTTAGATCAAGACGATCCAGTTTCAGTGTGAATATATACTGGAATATAGAATTGAAAACTAACTTTTGTTTTGTTTTGTTTCATAGCAAATAAGTGCAATTTTTATAGCAAGAGGGGTGAAATCCCCCCCAGTATTTAATTAGTTAAAAATAACACACCAGTAACCAATAGATGAGGTATTTTTGGTCTGCTTGAAAATATATTCAAAATGGTAATATATCTTCTGTAGACATATTTAATCACCAGCAAACATGGTTTTAACGTAACTTGGCAGACCCCGCATGTCTGCTGCATTGATTAATCCGGTTTGGTTCGTTACTTTCAGAGTAGCCGTGTTGCACTAATTGTACGTGCTCTCACGAATGTGTATTTCTCCTCCAGTTAGACACAACTTGGTTACTTTCTCTTCTGCTGCTTGCAAAACTACAGGACTTGAGTTTTGCTGAAATACTTTAGGTTAGAAATGTGGTACCTGGCTGAGGAACCTCCGTCAGGCTCACTACAGTATAAAAATGAATTAGAAGTTAATAGCCATGGTAATTACTTGTTCATGCCAGTGTTTTGCTGCGTGTCGAGAGATGAGCTCTCTACATTTCTGGTCGGCTGCGTGGGGCAGCGCGGTGACACGACCGTCGGAAACCCTCCAAGGAGACTGGTCGCCCAGGCGTTGGGAAGAAAGGCTTCTGGAGGGATACAGCACGGGGGTGTAGCATGAGTTTGCATCTTCCCTATGTTCACTTGATTGCCAGTTGTTTGTGCATAAAGCACCTCTTTTCCAGCGTAACCCGACCTGGTTGTTGCTCCGAGCTGCTGACGTCCCTTCCTGCGTAGGACAGAGTAAACCCGGAGCTTCATCAGAGCAGCCGCGGGTTGAGAGCCCAGATTGGTACTTGCTATTTCAGGATATATTTTGGAACCTGTTTACTTTTTGTTTGTTTAGGTCGGGGGGGGGAGGGTTGTTTTTTGTTTTGGGAGGGGTATCTTTCATCTTCTGCTCTGCTTTTCAGAGGATAAATGTTACTTGCAGTCTGCGTAGGTCACTGGCGATTCTGGGAGGTGATACAAGTTACTTCTTTTATTAGTAAAATATTCTGGAGAACTAACAGGGAAGGATTACCTTGGGTTCCTGATTTCCTGGTATCTAAAATTAGTTGATGTGAAGGAAAATGTATGTACAAATCTTCTTTTAATAGTTACAGCAAGAACTAATTGTTCTGATGTGTAGAGTACCCCTTCCCCCGTGACATACCTGTGGTTGTAATTTTG